ACATGATCAAAATTTGGGCGCTTGACAACTGGTCCATATTTGTGACGGTCGCAGTATCCTGGTGTCATGCAACCCCCTTTGTCACCTTCTCAGCAGGCTTCCAGCAAGCAACCTCAATGGGGGAAGCCGGACTCACTTAACAACCATATGATTCACTTAGCAGCTGCAGTGCTCCGCCTAACCCCTGTGGCAAAACGATTGTCATAATGGGGCACATCTTACTTAACAATTGCGTTGCTCCACAATGGCAATTTTGTGCTCCATTGTGGCAGTAAGCCATGGATTCCACGTATATTTCTGGCAGGACAGGCAGCTGTATAAATTGGAGATAAACAAAATAAAACTGAAGTAGATATTTCCCATGTCAGTTGGAATTGAATTAGAATTAGAATTCTTTATTGGCCAAGTGTGATCGGACACACAAGGAATTTGTCTTGGTGCACACGCTCTCAGTGTACATAAAAGACAAGATACGTTTGTCAAGAATCATAAGGTACAACACTTAATGATAGTCATAGGGTACAATAAGGAAGGAAGGAAGGAGAGAAAAGGAAGGGAGGGAGGGAGGGAGGGAAGGAGGAAGGATGGAGAGAAAAGGAAGAAGGAGGGAGGGAGGGAGGAAGCAGAAAAAAGGAAGGAAGAGAGGGAGGAAGGAAGGAAGGAGAAAATAGAATAGAATAGAATTCTTTATTGGCCAAGTGTGATTGAACACAAGGAATTTGTCTTTGGTGCATACGCTCTCGGTGTACATAAAAGACAAGATACGTTCGTCAAGGAATCATAAGGTACAACACTTAATGATAGTCATAGGGTACAAATAAGCAATCAAATCATACTAGGAAACAATCAATATAAATTGTAAGGATACAAGCAACGAAGTTACGGTCATACAGACATAAGTGGGAAGAGATGGCAAAGTTATCATAACGTAACCCTGATGTGGCTTCTTACTCATCTGAAACAATTCTCATCATATTTTAGACCAGGGGTGTCCAACCTTGGCAAGTTTAAGACCTGTGGACTTCAACTCCCAGAATTCCCCAGCCAGCCTTGCTTCAGGTTTGCCAGGGTTGGATACACCTCCCCCGCCCCCGGTTAAGATGAGGCCTAAAATACATACAGGTAGTCTTCAAAGTACGACCACAATTGAGCCATTGAGTTATGAAGATCATGGTCAACAGCAGCGACCTTGTAAGGTAGGTTGGGTTGAGAGACAGAGCGACTGGGCCAGAATCACCCAGCTGGCTTTCATGGCTAAAGCGGATTTGAACTCATAAAATTTGTGGACTTCCAACTCCCAGAATTCCCCAGCCAGCATGGGAAAAACAACCAAGCACAGACAGCACCAAGGATCCCACAGCTGTTGCCTTCCTCTTCAGGGGTGGGCTTCAAAAATTTTAGCAAGGGGTTCTCTGCCTGGTTGCTGGATGGGCGTGGCCAAGGTGGGCGTGCCTCCTAAGTTGGCCTCCTGCACCATGGGGGGGGAGGCATTTTTGCCCTCCCGGGCTCTGGAGGCTTTCCTCGAGCCTCCGGGAGGGTGAAAACGGCCTCCCAGGCTCCACAGGCCCTCTAGAGGCCAGAAACGGGCCCGCTTCCGGCCTTCCCGAACTTCTGGTAGGCCTCTGTTTTTCACTCTCTCCCAGCCTCCGTGTGTGCCCTGCACTTACCTGCATCCAAAACGGGGCCTCATGGGGACTCCTGGGAGGGGTGGGGTGGGCAGGGCCAGCCAAAGAGTGGGATTTGGGGGTTCTCTGAACTGCACAGAATCTTAGCTAGAGGGTTCTCTGAACCCCTGCGAACCCCCAGCAGCCCACCCTTGTTCCCCCTCCTCCTCCCCCCTTCCTCCTTTTCTTGTTAGATCAGTGTTTCTCAACTGGAAGCTTGAAGATGGGTAGACTTCAACTCCCAGAATCGCCCAGCCAGCGCTGCTGGCTGGGGGATTCTGGGGTTGAAGTCTACCATCTTCAAGCTACCAAGTTTGAGAAACACTGTTGAGATGTTTGTATACTCAATCTATGTTAATCATTAAGAAACATCACTAGCACTGATGCTTTATCTAGTTGGGTCATAAAATGTCTGCAAGTGAGAGAGCACCAAGGATCCTCACTAGTAGCTTTTTTTTGGGATGTATGTATGTACGTATGTATGTATGTATGTATGTATGTATGTATGTATGTGTGTCCCAAGGAGCCTGGATAGCTCTGCAGACTAAGCACTGTAATTTAACACTAGCTGTCTGCAATTAAAGTAAGTTCGAATCTCACCAGGCTCAAGGTTGACTCAGCCTTCCATCCTTTCTAAGGTAGGTAAATTGAGGACCCAGTTTGTGGGGGCAATAAGATGACTTTGTATAATATACAAAGGATGAAGGCTATTGCTTAACGCATTGTAAGCGCCTGAGTCTCCGGAGAAGGGCGGCATATAAATCAATTAAAAAAAAAAACATCATATATATATATATATATATATATATATATATATATATATATATATATATATATATATATATATTTGTCTTCTTAAGTTTTCGCGGGTGTGCATATGCAAAAAATTAAAATCTCGGGTGTTTTCCCTCGTCATTATAAATAAGTGGTTAAAATATTAAAATCCTGGTTAAAATCCCAGCTTAAAATCTTCTAAAATTCCTTACAGAGCACTCTGTAAGGTCTTTAAAACCTCAGCTAAAATCTTTTAAAACTTTTAAAGTCACTGGTAGGATTTTAGCTGAGGTTTTAAAGGACCTTGCAGAGTGCTCTGTAAGGAATTTTAGAAGATTTTAAGCTGGGATTTTAACCAGGATTTTAAATATTTTAACCATTTATTTATAATGAGCGGGAAAACACCCGAGATTTTAATTTTTTGCATATGCACACCCGCGAAAACTTAAGAAGACACTATAATATATATATATTATATATGTATGTATGTGTATATATGTATATATATATATATATATATATATATATATATATATATATATATAATATATATATGTATGTATGTAATATGTATATATATAAAAAACCTTTGTCTTTAGGATATTGGAGCATTCAGCCTTGCCATCCAATCCCTATTTAGGAAGACTTTGGAATAACCACGCTCTGTGGCATTGCTCCATTGGTTTTGACAAAAACTGTCAGCAGATTTCTGGCTGTATCCTATTCGTTCTGGGCCAACGGCTGGTTTCCATACCAACGTCGCAGAGATCCTGCCGGAGAACATTATTTGCGTCGGTATTTTTATTTTGAGTAATTAAAAGCCTGCAACCAGAGGTTATTTGTGGCAGGCAATCTGTAGCTCCCAGAGAAACGCAAAGAGTTTTCTTTTTTCAAGGTGAATATCGCAATCGGGCCAGAATGTTTATTTCCCACGAACGGATACGGTGCCTCATGTCAAAGGTTTTCATTATTGCTGCTGTAGAAAATAATAGGACTGAAAATTCCCCAGAAAGGGAGAATGACTGGGTTGCTAAGCCAGTTCTCCAGGCAGAGAGTTTGCAAGTGAGGAAGCTTGGCTGGGAAAGTCAATTCCCTAAGTCTCTTAAAGGGTGGTGGTGGGGAGATAGACATATTAATTTTTTATGATGTTTTGCTTCAAAAGACGCAAGATAAATCGGCTGCTCGGGGTGGCGAGTAGCGCAATCAAAGCCCCGCTGATTTTGAAAGGCTGAGGTTCTTGCTGTGGAATGATCTTCATGGGCTCAATGGCGGTATAATTCGCACACGCAGCCTGAAAACAATTAAGTGCGGAATTAGGGCCTTTGATCAAGCAAGGGGGATAAGATCTGGCACCGAGCAGAAGATTTTTGAAGCTGAGCAAAGGCCAGTTCCAGAAGGAAGCTTGCAAGCTACCTTAGAGTGGAGGTTTAGGATTATGGCCTGAAATTTGAACTGGTAATTTTTGCGAACCTATTAATTAAAAAAAAAAAAAAAAAAACTTTTGTGGTCTTTGGTGCTCGCCGAGCTTGGTGGTTTTCTTGCAGGTATTTTATCACACGACTGATGATGTTCCCTAGTGGGTCATGAAAAGTCTGCAAGGAAAAAACCCAAGTCAGAGAGCACCAAGTTGTCATTTTCCTCCTCCTCCCTCCTCTTCTTCCTTCTCCTCCTCTCCTCCTCTCTGCAAGCACTACTCCCTTCTAACAATCATGATCTTACCTAGTTGGGTATAAAAACTATAAAAACAACAAAGTTCCGAGAGCATCAAGGATCAAGGACTCCACAGTCATTTTCCTCCTCCTCCTCCTCCTCCTCCTCCTCCTCCTCCTCCTCCTCCTCCTCTCTGCAAGCACTATTCCCTTCTAGCACTGATGGTGTTACCTAGTTGGTAATGAAACGTCTGCAAGAAAACCACCAAGCTCAGAGAGAATCAAGAATCAAGGACTCCACAGTCATTTTCCTCCTCCTCCTCCTCCTCCTCCTCCTCCTCCTCCTCCTCCTCCTCCTCCTCCTCCTCCTCCTCCTCCTCCTCCTCCTCCCCCTCCCCCCTCCTCCTCCTCCTCTCCTCCTCCTCTCTGCAAGCACTATTCCCTTCTAGCATTGATGGTGTTACCTAGTTGGGTAATGAAACGTCTGCAAGAAAACACCAAGCTCAGAGAGCACAAGGACCCCATAGTCGTTCTCCTCCTCCTCCTCCTTCTCCTTGCCCCCTTTCTCCCTCTTCCACTCCACACAACCCCTTTCTTCTGATATGAATGATGTTACCTAGTTGGGTAATGAAACATCTGAAAGAAAACCACCAAACTCAGAGAGCACCAAGAACCCACAGTCATCTCCCTCCTCCTCTCCTCCCAAACCCTCCTCCCTTCTAGCCTGCAGATGTTGCCCTCCCTCCATCCTAGCTGGAGATCCCGCCACTCCAAGGCAGCTGCTAGCCAGCGCCACGTCTTGCGATAGAAAACCCCGAAGCCGAATGGTGCGTTGGGAGCGCACGAGGCAGAAGTCCTCGCAGGGCCTCCTTGCTTCGCTCTCGAATCTTCCCGTTCCCTTTTTTTTCAACAGAGCGACGACATCAACAAAGTGGCCAAGGCGGCGAAGATCGTGGAGCGGGATGGTCAACCAGAACACCTTCGATGACATCGCTCAAGGTGAGGACCCAGAAGAAGGCTGTCCGGGACGCTGCCTGAAAGTGATGCCCTTGTTCTCCCAAAGGTGCTTTTTTCCAGAAAACAGCTGGACTTTCTTCTCTTTGTCTGAAGACAAAGTTTCGCTTCTCATCCAAGAAGCTTCTTCAGTTCTGCGTGGATGGTGGGGGAATGGAAGGATTTATATTCCTTGCAGACAGCCAGTCCTTTGCATCCTTTTAGAGGGTCGTTGAGGCCACTTGGAGGTTTTCTCTGTGTCCTCAGCATTACCTGAGTGGTGCAAATGACTGTGCAGCCTTCTCGGAACTGCTGAAAGGACTGAATTATAGACAGGAGATAGATGTTCTGCCCCAGCTCCGGATTTCCAAGGATATTGACACACCCCAACGGTCCTGATCAAATTTATTAAGTAGCAAGAATAAACAAGACCGGCAAAGGTTGGCAACCAGCCCAGAAAAACAATATTGATAAACCAAAATACTCTGATAATAATATGAGTTGTTTCCAGCAAGAACGCACTAACTGCGTGTGACTTAAATAGGCTAAGGGAGTGGCCAATTATCCTCAAGCCTTACTCTTGAGTAGACCTCCTCCTCCTGAGTAGCCACTCCTGCCTTTTGGCAGCCCTGCGTGCCCCGGCATTGAGGAGAGGCTCCTCCACTTCGCTCTCTCTCCACTTGAAGGAGCCTCCGGAGGTTCTGAAGGCCCTGGCTGAGTCTCTGCCTCTGGCATCATATCCTCTTCAACCTCCTCGTTGTTCATGAGCGCTGGCTGTGCAGGCTGCTGGCGCGACATCACACCAGCCTCCTCTTCATCGGGATCAGCCACGATCTGCGCAGGCCGCTGGCGGGCCACAACAATAGATGATGTCGTATCCCCTCTCCTTCTGTTGAGAGAGGGCTGTTCAGTTTGGACATAGATGCCCTCTTTGACCCCTCTTTCAAACCAGCAGTCCTCTCTGTCCAGAATGTGGACTTTGCTGTCTTCAAACGAGTGGCCTGTGTCTTTGAAATGCAGGTAGACTGCTGAATTTATGATGGCTTTGTTCTCCTATATTGTGCCATGCGCTTATGGACAAAAGAACCACTTCATAAACTCAGGTGGCCCTGAGGACACAGACAAACCTCCAGGTGTCCTCAACGGCTCTCTAAAAAAGGACGCAAATGACCAGCTGTCTGCAAGGAACATCAATCCTTCCATTCCCCCACCATCCAGTCAGAACTGAAGAAGCTTCTTGGATGAGAAGTGAAACCTCTTCAAGAAAGAAAAACCGGAAAGTCCAGTTGGAAAAGCACCTTTGGGACAACCAGGACCTGAATGACTTGAGAATCTCTGCAGACGTTTGCTTGTTCTCGCTTCCTTCCTTGGCTCCGATGAGCCTTTGCTTCCATTTCCAGTCCCTGCTGTTGGTCATAAGCAGTGGTGGGTTTCACTTACCTTTGCTACCTGTTTGCTCACGCGTGCACCACTTCTGTGCATGTGCAGAGCGTATTTGATGACATTCGGGAGGGTGGACGGAGCCTCCCACTACAGCTGCTACCGGTTTGCCTGAACCAGGTCGAACTGGTAGCAACCACCACTGGTCATAAGATGTGAACGACTGCTGGTCGTAAGTATTATTATTTATTATTTATTAGTCACATTTTTATGCCGCCAACTCCCGAGGGACTCTGGGCGGCTAACAACAAAGAATAAAACAATGCGAACAATATCCCATGCAAATGTTTAAAAAGAAAACATGCAAAAGTAGCTTTTGAGAGGTCCACCGTAACTACGAATAGCCGTTAAACAACTGGTCATAAAGTCAAGAACTACCTCTGTATAGCTTCAAAGTCTTTTAATCCCCCAGAGAGCTTCCGAGGAGGCTTACAACTCAAAAAGTTTAGAAATTTAAAACATCATCCTAACCCAGGACAGATTGAGAACGGGAGGAAAGAAATGCAAGTAGTCCTTGACTTGCAACCATTCATTTAGTGACCGCTCTAGAGTTAAAATGGCCTGAAAAAAGTGACTTACAACTGGTTCTTGCACTTACAGCCAAACATCCCCAAAAATTCATGTGCTTGGAAATGCCATTTGCACTTTTCCAGCTGGCTTCTGGCCAGCAAATTCAGTGGGGAGGGGGCAGAAGCCAGATTTGCTTAATGACCGCATGACTCGCTTAGCAACTGTGAGGAATTGCGTAACAACCGTGGCAAAAAAGGAGACGTAAAATGGACGTGACTCGCTTAACGACGAATAACAGAATTACAAGGGATTTTGAGGTCTTCTAGTCCAACCCTCTTTACAAGCAGGAAACTCTGTAGTTTAAAAAGAGAAACAGTCAAGGGGTTGGACTAGATGATCTACTAGATGATCCAACTCTGTTAATCAGTTAAATCTGTTGGCATAGTTTCCTAGAATGACGTATTGCAGGATAATTCTGCCGACTGCCAGCAGTTCGATTCTGACCAGCCCAAGGTTCACTCAGACTTCCATCCTTCCAAGGTCGTAAAATGAGGACCCTGATTGTTGAGGGCAAGAGGCTGGCTCTGTAAACTGCTTAGAGAGGGCTGCAAAGCATTATGGAGCGGTATATAAGTCTAAACACTGCTGCTAGTGCTGTTGCTACTTTTTTTTTCTTTTTAACTTGATTTATATGCCGCCCTTCTCCAGAGACTCAGGGCGGCTTACAATGCGCTAAGCAATAGCCTTCATACTTTTTGTATATTTATACAAAGTCAGCTTATTGCCCCCACAATCTGGGTCCTCAATTTACCTACCTTAGAAAGGATGGAAGGCTCAGTCGACCTTGAGCCTTGGAGAGATTCGAACTTACTTTAATTTAGTTACTTTAATTGCAGACAGCTGGTGTAAATTGCAGTGCCTTTTCTGCAGAGCTATCCAGGCTCTTTTGACATGACTCAAAGCCGTGGGAACCAAGAGTGCTAACTTCTTGCCTAGTGCTGTGATTGTAAGAATGCAAAGTTGTGGGGGGGGAAAGATTGTTGCTGAGAACACTGAGCTGCCAGCAAAGACGGTGCTGAATTAGAGTTAACAGAATAACAGAATGAGTTGGAAGGGACCTTGGAGGTCTTCTAGTCCAGCCCTTCTCAAGCAGGAGAACAATCTCTTCTTAAAGGCCTCCAGTGATGGAGCACCTACAACCTCTGGAGCAAGTTGTTCCGTTGATTAATTAACAATATAACAGAAGGGACCTTGAAGGTCTTCTAGTCCAACCTTCCCTATACAGTACCAGCGCTTCTCAACTTTGAATCATGGAAGATGGCTGGACTTCAAATCCCAGAATTCCCCAGCTGGCATGGCCGGCTGGGGAATTCTGGGAGTTGAAGTCCAGCTATCTTCAACTAACCAAGATTGAGAATCACTGCCCTGTGTCATTTGTTTATTTTAATTTTTTTAAAAAAAAATTTTTTGATTTATATGCCGCCCTTCTCGGAGGAGACTCAGGGCGGCTTACAATGCGTTAAGCAATAGCCTTCATCCTTTGTATATTTATACAAAGTCAGCTTATTGCCCCCACAAACTGGGTCCTCAATTCACCTACCTTAGAAAGGATGGAAGGCTGAGTCAACCTTGAGCCTTGGCGAGATGGAACCAGCAGTAATTGCAGACAGCTGGTCTTAATAACCAGTTTAAAAACAGGGTGCCTTAGACCACTGTACTACCAAGGCTCTTTTAAATTGTGCAATCGTAACTGGCACACTTTAGTCCCCCGAAACTTAGCTTGCGCAATAATTTGCTAACGCAGATTTAAAAACTGTTTTTGCTTTTGCTAGATTTCAAGTACTTTGAAGATGCCTCCGATGAATACCGGGATAACATGGGGACGCTGCTGCCGCTCTGGAAGTTTCAGTACGACAAAGCCAAGCGGCTGGCTGTCACCGCCCTCTCCTGGTGAGAGCCTTCTCTGCAGGCAGAAGCGGGGTGGGGGGGGCGCTCTGTGAAAACCCACACTGCTTATCTTGATGATTGAGCAATGGAAATGAGAAATAGAAAACGTTCAGTGTTAACGTTGTATTTGTTACATACGCTTCTTTTTCTTTTTTCTTGGGTCACGTTTATAGTTTTTCTTTTGTTATTTTCATTTACTTCGGGGGTTGGGGAGAGAAAAAAAAGGAGAATATTTGGAGCTCAGAGCAGTGGTGAAATCGGAACCGGTTTACTACTGGTTTGCTGGCTGCACATGTGCACCAGTGGTGGGTTCCTCCTGGTTCGGCCCGGTTTGGCCGAGCCAGTAGCGGTGACAATGTGACATCACCGACCGGTTCTCTTTGTTTGGAAGCTGGGCCCTCCCGCCACCCCCACTCCCCCACCACCCCCCCCGTCCCGTGTTATTCTTACCTTTTATTTGACCCCACCCCCAATCTATTGCTGCCTCCCAAGTCCCAGCTGATCGGCTAGAAGGAAAAAAACTGTTTAAACTCTTGCCGCGGGGCTTCAAAGGGCTGCCCTACAGCTGATCAGTGTTAAAAGGCAGTGTGGTGGTAGACCAGTGCCTCCAAAAACAAATGAGTAGACCAATGCCTCCAAAAACAAATGAGTAGACCGGGGCCTCCAAAAACAAATGAGTAGACCAGTGCCTCCAAAAACGAATGAATAGACCGGTGCCTCCAAAAAGAAATGAGTAGACCAGTGCCTCCAAAAACGAATGAATGGACCGGTGCCTCCAAAAACAAATGAGTAGACCAGTGCTTCCAAAAACAAATGAGTAGACCGGGGCCTCCAAAAACAAATGAGTAGACCAGTGCCTCCAAAAACGAATGAATGGACCGGTGCCTCCAAAAACAAATGAGTAGACCAGTGCTTCCAAAAACAAATGAGTAGACGGGGGCCTCCAAAAATAAAAATGAGTAGACCAGTGCCTGCAAAAACGAATGAGTAGACCGGTACAGCTCTGCAAGCAGTTAAAAGCCTGGTAGACCAGTACCTCTGCGAAATCCTAAAGAATTGTCACATGACCATCAAGACACGCCCACAAAATAAGCCACGCCCACAGAACCGGTAGTAAAAAAAAAAAATTAGAACCCACCCCTGATGTGCACTGTGCGCGTCCATGCGGTAGTGCGCCACGCACGCCAAAAGGAGGCATGGGGTAAGTAGAACAGCGTGCGCAGTGGGGGGTGATCAGCTATGGCGCGTGTTTTTTTTTTACTATTAGATTGTAAAGAAATGCTTTTGAAAGTAATAAAAAAGGGTCTGAAGTTCGTGCGGCTCAGCTGGGATCGTCAGAGCCTTTTTTTCTCCCCCTTTTAAAAGCATTTTTTAAAAGAAGCGGCAAGCAGGCGACCGGGCAATTGGGTGGGCATGGGTGGGGGGAGGGGGGGCAGGGATTTTTGCTACTGGTTCTCCGAATCACCTGCCACCATCGCTACAGGATCGGCCGATCCAGTCCGAACCGGGAGCATTTCACCCCTGGCTCAGAGTTGAAAGGAGGGGTCCTTGGTGCTCTCTGAGCTTGGTGGTTTCCTTGCAGATGTTTCATGATCCAACTAGGTAACATTATCAGTGCTAGAAGGGAGAGGGGTTTATGGAGAGGAGGAGGAAGAAGAGGAGGAGGAGGAGGAGAAGAAGGTGGAAGAGGACAGCTGTGGGTTGAAATGAAAGGTTTTTGATGCTCTCTGAGCTTGGTAGGTTTCTTATGGACATTTCATGACCCAGCTAGGTAACATCAGCAGGGCTAGAAGAGAGTGTGGTTTGTGGAGAGGAGGAGGATGGAGATGGGAGGACGAGGAGGAGGAGGAGGACTCTGGGTTGAAATCAAGGGTATTTGTTTTTTATTTTTCTTGCAGATGTTTTACCACCCAACTAGGTCACATCATCAGTGCTAGTCCTGATGATGTGACCTAGTTTGGGTTATGAAACATCTGTAAGGAAGCCACCAAGCACCAAAGACCTTTCAAAAAAAATTTTTTAAACTTTAAAAAAAGAAAAATGAAAGTGAATAAAGACATTGAGTGCAAGAGCTGAGAGGATAATCTGAGAATCATGTGAATAATATGGGTAATACACAGGCTGCATTTTTCATTTTTTTTATATTAACAACAATATTTTTAATATTAAGACAAAGGATGTACCCTGCTTTTACGACAGAAGAGGGCCATGAATTAATAGCTTAGATTGGAAAATACTCTTTAAAAAACAAAAGAAAAAACATGGCCTTCAAATAATTAGCCCAAGGAATTTTAGCATTCCTTTCTGGTATCTATGGAACTCCATAGATACCAGAAAGGCAAGAAGATTTTACAGTATTCACTGAGGGTTTTTTTTTTTTTTTAATTTGATTTATATGCTGCCCTTCTCCGAAGACTCAGGGCGGCTTACAATGCGTTAAGCAATAGCCTTCATCCTTTTGTATATTTATACAAAGTCAGCTTATTGCCCCCACAAACTGGGTCCTCATTTCACCTACCTTAGAAAGGATGGAAGGCTGAGTCAACCTTGAGCCTTGGCGAGATTCGAACCCTGCAGTAATTGCAGGCAGCTGGTCTTAATAAGCTTAATAACAGGGTGCCTTAAACCCCTGTACTACCAACTGCTGGACAATCTCAAGCTTACAAAATCTTTCCTCGTGCATTGATTATTATAATTCTAAATCATTAAACCTAGTTTAATATGTTTGTACTGTATGAAGGCTATTGCTTAACACACTGTAAGCCGCCCTGAGTCTCTGGAAAAGGGCGGCATATAAATCGAACCAATAAATAAATATACAATAAATAAATAGTTAGGAATTTCTGATGCTGAAATATAATAATGTACTAATTATTTTAAAAAGTATTTCAGTACTTGGAAACCTGCACTCCCTCCGGTCCCCATCTCTACAAAAATGTATTTATGTCCTTAACAATCCCCTGGAACAAAATGTGTCTGTAACACGCTACAAATATTGTCAAAAGACCGGAATGCTGACAGTTTACGTCTCTTTTGTCTTGCAGGAACCCCAAGTACAAAGACTCGTTCCTCGTTGGACACGGCTCTTGTGAGTTTTGACTCGGCTGTGTTATGCCAACGCTTGGTGATAAAGCCAGAGATTTTTCAGTCCCCGTTGCTTCATTTTTTCCTCCTAGATCCTACAGACCAACTTTTACATCCTGGGGGACTTGGTTGTGTTTAAACGGCACGTGAGCTGGTTGCTCGGCGAGACGCCTTTCCTGGTTGTCTCAAATCATTTCCAGTTATTTCCAGATTTGCAGCACAACAATCAGAATAGAGCTGGAAGGGACCTTGGAGGTCTTCTAGTCCAGCCCCTTGCTCAAGCAGGAGACCCTATACCATTTCAGACAAAGGGTTGTCCAGTCTTTCTCCAGTGATGGAGCACCCACGACTTCTGGTGGCAAGCGGTTCCACTGGTTAATTGTCCTCACTGTTAGGAAGTTTCTCCTCAAATCTAGGTTGCTTTTCTCCTTGATGAGTTTCCATCCGTTGCTTCTTCTCCTGCCTTCTGGTACTTTGGAGAATAGGTTGCCCCCCCCCCTTTTCTTTGTGTCAGCCTTCAAATATTGGAAGATTGCTATCATGTCACACCTAGATTAGCAGATTGTAAAGACTGTAACACCAAAAAAATATGTTTTGTAGCACTGCATCCCTTAGGAATCAAAATAAAGTGAACACCTACTACACACATAAACACACACACAGGTTGCTGAGGTCTTTCCCTCCTCTAGAGTTTTTCTCATTCTCAAGTCAAACAATCAGAATAGAGCTGGAAGGGACCTTAAAGGTCTTCTAGTCCACCCCCTCCTCAACCAGAAGACCCTGTACCATTTGAAACAAGTGGCTATCCAATCTCTTCTTTAAAAAAACCTCCAGCGATGAAGCACCCACAACCTCTGGTGGCAAGCCATTCCACCGGTTAATTGTTCTCACTGTCAAGAAACTTCTCCTTAGTTCTAAATTGCTTCTCTCCTTGATGAGTTTCCATCCATTGCTTCTTGTCCTGCCCTCAGGTGCTTTGCAAAATAAGTTGACCCCCTTTTCTTCTTTGTGGCAGCCCCTCAAATACTGAAATACTGCCAGTATTTGAGAGGTTTTAGATATATAAAACTCAATATTTGAGTTATATGTTATATTTATCTCAGTATTTGAGATATATAACAGGGCTGATTACACAAAGCTTCCCCAGGACGTCATCATTAGCTAAAAACTCTTGATTGCGGTCCCAAATTAGCTTCTGCAAATCAGACTTAACAAATCTGTCAATGCAGCCGCTGGTACTAATACATTTTCTAAACCGAAAGCATTAGCCGCGTGTGGCCGGGTGTGTAAAATGGATGGTCCTTATTAGATTACACGTCTCTCCCAACAAAGGTGGCGGGAAATGGCCAATGGGGGCCATCAATCCTAGCTGGCAGCTTGATTGTTGCTGAGGCATTTAAGTTCTCCGATATTTTTGCCTAATTTCTTTTAGGAAGCTTGCACATCCATTTTATTTTTAATTGGCCAATAGGATCCTGCACCCCGTGGCATATTTAAAAGAAGAATAGAATAATAGCAGAGTTGGAAGGGACCTTGGAGGTCATCTAATCCAACCCCCCGCCCAAACAGAGGTCATCTAATCCAACCCCATTTCTGAGAGACGGCAGTCCAGTCTCTTCTTGAAAGCTTCCAGGGATGAAGCTCCCACAACTTCCGAAGGCAGCTTCTGTTCCATAGGTTGATGGTTTTCACTGTCAGAAAATTCCACCTTATTTCCAAGTTGAATCTCTCCTTCCATTATTTCTTGTCTGGCCTTCGGGTGCCTTGGACCCTTCTTCCCTGTGGCAGCCCCTTAAATATTGGAAGATGCTCTCCTGTCTCCTCTGATCCTCCTCTTCACTAGACTAGCCAAGCCCAGTTCTTGCAACCGTTCATCTTATGTTTTAGCCTCCAGTCCCCTCATCATCCTGGTTTATTTATTTATTTATTTATTAATCAAATTTCTATACCGCCCTACTCCCGAAGGACTCAGGGCGGTGAACAGCCAAGATAAAATACAGATAATACAAATATTAAAAAATCCCTTAAAATTATTAAATATTTCGGCCGAAACACAGATTAAAACACCCAATTTGTAAAATCACGAATTAAAAAATTTAAAAATTTAAAAGATGGGAGTTAGGCCAGGCCAGCTTGCTGAAATAGAAAAGTTTTGAGAGCACGGCGAAACGTGCGCAGGTCCGGGATCCTCCGTATCTCCGGGGGGAGCTCGTTCCAGATGGTAGGTGCCCCACAGAGAAGGCTCTCCCCCTGGGGGCCGCCAGTCGACACTGTTTGGCCGACGGCACCCTGAGGAGCCTCTCTCTATGGGAGCGTACTGGTCGGTGGGAGGCTATTGGTAGCAGAAGGCGGTCTCGTAGATACCCCGGTCCGATGCCATGGAGCGCTCTAAAGGTGGTAACCAAAACCTTGAAGCACACCTGGAAGACCACCGGAGCCAGTGCAGCTCGCACAGGAGGGGGGTCACATGGGAGCGCCACGTCGCTCCCATAACCACCCGCGCGGCCGCATTCTGGACCAGCTGGAGCCTCCGGGTGCTCTCAAGGGGGAGCCCCATGTAGAGGGGGCAACCCCCATGGTTGCTCTTCTCTGCGCTCTTTCTAGAGTCTCAACACCTTTTTTATAGTGTGGTGACCAAAACTGGATGCAGTATTTTAGGTGTGGTCTTACTAAGGCTTTGTAGAGTAGTACCTCCCTTGATCTCGATTGTTTCCCTCTGTTAATGCAGCTAAGGATTGCATTGACCCTACACCATTTTTGACAAGTGGTGGACTATCTGTATTGTATTGCAAAGGTCGTAGAAACAGGAGAGGACGGAAAGCTGCTATGTATTTTATTGATTGGAAACATGCTGCTTTGCTGCTTTCCATTACAAAATATGTTGCTGCAGCAACTCACCTCTAAGGTTTCGGGATTGGGTTGCCAAAGTTTCTTTATGGCTTCTCAAGCAACATTAAACCTGCCCCCAAACTCCTTTACGCCCTTTGTGGTTTGGGCTCAAGTACAAGATCCTTGTTCCCTAAATTCTTTGCTCTGTAATAGAAGATAATATTTGTGGCTCAGGATTAGACTGTGGGGTGTTTGGTGCTCTCCGAGCTGGGTGGTTTTTCTTGCAGAGGTTTCATGACCCAACTATGGTAGGTATCGTCATCAGTGCTAGAAGGGAGAGAGGTGTGCAGTCTGAAGGAGGAGGAGAAGAGGAGGAGGAGGGACATGGGGATGTTTTTCTTGCAGACGTTTCATGACCCAACTAGGTAACATTATCAATGCTATAAGGGAGAGAAGTGTGCAGTATGGAGGAGGAGGAGGGATGGAGGGGGAAGAGGAGGACAAAAGGGACAGTGGGGTCCTTGGTGCTCTCTGAGCTGGGTTGGTTTTTTTTGCAGACGTTTCATGACCCATCTAGGTAACATCATCAGTGCTAGAAGGGTTGGGGTGTGCAGTGCAGAGGAAGAGGAGTAGAAGAAGGGGAGGGGAGGGGGAGGAGAAAAAGGGACAGTGGGGTGCTTGGTGCTCTCTGAGCTGGATTGTTTTTCTTGTAGACGTTTCATGACCCAACTAGATAATATCATCAGTGCTAGAAGGGAGAGAGGTGTGCAGTGTGGTGGAGGAGGAGAAGAGGAGGAGGGGAAGAGGAGGAGGGGGAGAGGAGGGGGAGAAAGGGGACAGTGGGGTGCTTGGTGCACTCTGAGCTGGGTTGGTTTTTTTTTTTTTTTTTGCAGACATTTCATGACCCATCTAGGTAACATCATCAGTGCTAGAAGGCTGTGGGGTATGCAATGCAGAGGAAGAGGAGTAGAAAAAGGGGAGGGGAGGAGGAGGAGAAAAGGGACAGTGGGGTGCTTGGTGCTCTCTGAGCTGGGTTGTTTTCTTGCAGACGTTTCATGGCCCAGTTAGGAAGGAAATGGTTGTGTGGAGAGAAGGAGGACGATAATTTGAGCCCGACTTACCTCCGTGCCATTTTTAAAACTTGAAACAATTTCTTGTATTGTGCAATGGACTTGGATCCATTCATGGCCTTTGTGCCAAATTTTGATATTATGTCCTTCTGCCAAATATATGATTATAGTTTTTTTTCAATGTCCCAGTTGACTGATGGGGCAATACTCCAGGGTAGACTAGATATTTATATTGTGTGTTACTTGTCCTTTGAATACATTCCCCCAGTGCCTCTTCTGGCTTACAGCCTGGTTTTAATCAAGATATCCAGCCTCCCTTTTTCTGAGCTTCGGTGTTTTATTTTCGGGCCAGCAGCCTGCAGAGCGGAGCTCTGACTGCCTAAAGAGACGTCCAATCAATCCTTCAGATTGGCCTTCTAATCCTCTCATGGGCTCATTTAGGCAAGACGAGAAACCCGCAAAGTTGTGCAATGATTCCCAACACAAAAACAGCACCTTGATGTCGTTTGGAGCCCTGGGAATGCGATGGTCTTTTTCTTTCTTTTTTTTTTATTGCAAAAGTTTTACAATTACATTTTCACCCCTTTTTCCCCCCCCACCTCCCCCCCCAGACTTCCCAACCTCCCTAACCCTCCCTAACCCTCCCCTCCCCCCAGACTTCCCTATAATATACTCATAACTGGTAAAAAGAAAACACAAAAAAAACCACCCTTAATATGACACTTATAATGAACTTGAACCCCTCCCTCCCCCTGTATAATTTTTCTCTTTACCTCATTACATTAAAATATTTCCAATACATTATTTTCAAATAAAAGCTATTTGATACTTTCTAGTTTGATATTTGTTCTGAACATATTCTATCCACCTTTTCCATTCCCACTCATAAGTCTCTTGTGAACAATCTTTTAAGTATGCTGAAATCTTCGCCATCTCTGCAAAACTGGCCATCTTCAAAGTCCATTCCTCGATAGTGGGCAAAGCTTCATTCTTCCAGTATTTACCTATCAACAATCTTGCTGCTGTTATCATGTACAATATCAATTTTGTTTCACCCAATGTAAAACCCTTAACTATACCATTAAAAACAGTTGTGGAGAAAATT